TTTAAAAATACGGTTAATCGAGATTTTAAACAGAAATACAGTAAATTGAGTTTTTAAAAGAAATACAGTAAATCACGTTTTTTATGGAAATACAATAAATCGAGATTTTTCACAGAAATACAGAAAATTGTTGTTTTGCGGAAATAAAGTAAATAACATTCTTTAATGAAAATACAGTAAATCGAGTTTTTCAACAGAAATACAATAAATTGAGTTTTTTTTACATAAATACAATAAATCGAGTTTTTAAAGAAAATAGGGTAAATCACTTTTTTTTTACAAAAATACAGTAAATTAAATTTCTTCACAGAAATACAATAAATCACATTTTTTAGAAATTACAATAAATCGAGGTTTTTTTATGGAAACAAAGTAAATCGCATTTTGACATAAATACAGTAAATCAAGAATTTTTTACAAAAATACGGTAAATCACATTTTTTTACAAAAATACAGTAAATCAAGTTTTTTATAGAAATACAGTAAATCATGTTTTTTTCAAAAATACAGTAAATTGAATTTTTTTTATTGAAATAAATTAAATCGCATTTTTGATAAAAATACATTAAATTAGGTTTTTTATTACAGAAATACAATAAATCACGTTTTTTATGGAAATACAGTAAATCGTGTTTCTTTTGGAAATACAGTAAATTACATTTTTGATAGAAATATAGTAAATTGCATTTTTTACGGAAATGCAGTAAATCAAGTTTTTTTTATAGAAATACAGTAAATCATATTTTTTTCTTCGAAAATACAGGAAATTGGATTTTACGAAAGTACAGTAAATCACATTTTTATAGGAATACAGTAAATCGAGTTTTTTGAGGAATTAAGTAAATTGTTTTTTTTTTGTTGAAAAGTCAACTCTATATTTTCGATAAAAACCGACTTTTCTTATTTCGACAAAAAAATAGTTTTTTGAAATAGACAACTTTTTATATTTTCGATAAAAATCATCTTTTCTTATTTTCGATAAAATTATTTTTTAATATATTTTTATTTTTCAAAATAAAATTAGTTTCCAAACAATTTAGTTCTAAATAAATTATATTTTGAACCCCTTACTTAGGCCCCTAAAAAACAAAAATACGAGAGGAACATAAAAATAAGGGGCCAAAATATTTTTTATTTAGTAAGAAGCCTAAAATAAGAGGGCTAAATAGGGGCGTAATTATAAGGGCTTTACTATTTAAGGTTTTTTGACTCCTCTATCTACGGACACTTAAGTCTGCCTAAACATTACTTTCTCTTTTCTGAAAAAATTTGAGATGTCTCATGCGGAAGAAAAAAAAAAGCTAATCCTCTTTGCGATCAGATCCTTCTAGCTTTAACGGATTTTGCTGAGCTATTTTTCGAAGTCGCTCCAATCTCTAAGATTCGTGAACTAATTTCTTTCTCCTTCACAGAAATACTGAAACAACTATTGAAATCCTTTGCTCAAGCTCTAAAAGGGGTTTGTGATATCCTTTATTCTCAGTTTCCTCAGTCCATCATTAAAGGGGATAGGCTGTCTATTACCATCCCAGAAGAAGAATACAAAGCTGGTATGGATGAATATAAGAACAATCTCCATGGTAGGGTTCTACACCGCTCACAGTGGTGGCTCTCAGAAAGAAACTTTCTCTTATGTGGTCTGAAGTGAAAAATTGGAAAGTTCAATCTCTTGGTAAAGGTTATTACGAGATCACATTTTCTAATACTGAGTGTTAAATTATAATTCATAGTGTCAAAAAGATTAGATTTGTTTATATTTAAATAGATTTGATTTAAGTCTAGAATAAATTAGAATTGATTTAGTAACAAAATAGATATTTTGGGCTTTGAGCTTAGGGTGCAAGCTCAATTATAAATAGAGGGGGTAACCCCTATTTTTTGTAAGCAAGTCAAGCAAGTCATTCACAGTATTTTACAGTTGCAAAGTGAATAAGAAAGTTTTCACAGTTTGTGAGCAGAGAGAAACTTTGTAGAAAATAATTGTCCGGTCTTCTTTTCTTTCTTTTTCTCATAATTAATCGTCATTGTGGTAAAAATTCATCATAGTCTTTTAGTTGATTTCCAACACTGAGGATATGCGCATGGTTAGGGCCTCTGGTTGTATCAGCTTAAATCCGGGATCTCTGAAGCTCTTTGCTTGGACAAGAAATTTCAATCCAACTATTCAAAATAATACCTCTGCTCAAGTTTGGGTTTGTTTCTTCGGGCTTTCTTAGGAGTATTAGAGACCCCTAATTCTATTTGCTATCGCTAGTTGTTTCGGGCCCCTATTTGAATTGATTCCGCATCTGCCAAACCCAATATGGATCGAACGTTTGGCCATTTTTTAAGAGTGCTTATCGATATGGATTTAGATTTTCCCTTGCATCATAATGTGTTGATGGAAAGGGAAGGTTATTCCTTCTTCTCTGATATAGAGTATGAAAACCTACCTGATTTTTGTAGTCACTGCAGAAAAACTTGTCACATCGTGCAAGAGTGCAAGATGTTGAGAAAAAAAATGAGAATACTGCTATTCCAAAAGCTTCAGTGCAGAAGCTTATCCCTGAGGTGGTAGTCTATAATAACACAGTGAATGCAGAAGTTGATAATGAAGATGTTGCTGGAGGTAAAAGTCATCATGAAGGGAATGTGGTGGAATTATTAAGTAATGAAGAAGAGAAGGATGGAAACATTGAAGTTCCTGTAAAGGAAAATATTGTTGTCGATACCTTTGTGGTGGCCTTTAACTCTCAAAACTTTGTAGAGTATCTTCCTGAAGATACATGATCCCCTGTTTCGGAGTATGTCACAACTACTCAAGATATGGTAGAAATTAATAATGAAGGATTTCTTCATAAATCTTGGGCAAATCTTGGTTACTTGCCTGAACCCAAGGGAGCTTTTACATCAGCAATTGCTACTCTCAAACTGAAACAACCTTATAGAACTAAGAAGAAACATGTCACAAGGTCTCAAGCAAGGCCAAAGAAATCGTCCTTATGAAGTGCCTTTATTGGAACATAAGAGGCGTGGCTAATGCTTCCTCCAGATTAGCCTTGAAGAGAATTTTAATTATGCATAATCATGATTTTGTGTTTATTGCTGAGTCAAAGTTTGACTTTGTTAAGTTTCCTAATAATTGGTTTGCTAGATTTGGTTTCAAACCTTTTTGTTTCAATAACATGGATCAACCTTCCCTTTGGTATTTTTGTAAAGATGAGTACAACCCGAAGGTTATTTCTTTGTCCGACCAATTTATTGCTTTTAATTTCAATTTAGACAACTATTTGATGGCGATAGTTACTATTTATGCATCTACGAATCTGCATAAAAGGGTGGAGCTTTGAAAATACCTCTTTGATCTTCATTCTTTGCATTTTATCCCTTGGGTTTTTTTGGGGATTTTAATGCTATTATTGAGGCCCATGAGCCCCGGGGCATGAACAGTCCTGCAAAGAGGCCTATGGAGGATTTTCAATCCTGGACTGATATCAATAATCTCCTTCATTTTCTTACTTTCGGAGCTAGGTTCACTTGGTCTAACAAAAGAGATCAACCTTTTTTTGTGATTAGGTCAAGATGATGCCATTGAGTCCTTGAATCCACGCTTGAAACAAATTTTCCATTGGCTAGGTTAAAAAATTAGAAATTTCCCCTCTGCTGTTAAAACCCTAAAAATGACCATTTTGCCCTTTTGATGATCTGATCAAATTTCTTGAGGAGTTGTGGTCTAAATTTGATCAAATGGTTCATATGAGTGTATAATGTTGACGTGGATAAACAATTATGAGGTTTGACTGTAAATTGGCCACAATTGACTTTTTCCCCAATATAGTTGATTTCTAGGTCAACTATTCAATTGACTGGGCAAAAATTTGATTCAAGGCTTGAAACTTGGTATGGGAAAACTTATAAGTCCAACATGAAGTATGAAAGTCATATTAAGCATTGAAAGTCCAAAAATCCATGTGCAAACTCAAACCCTAATTTCAGGTCATTAGTGCAAGGAGATGTCTTGAGTAGAGCAAACCCTAGTCTTGTCTGGAGTCCAACGAGTCTTGTAAGGGGAAATCTTGATAAAATGAGAGGGCAAATTTTGGGGTACAACAGCTGCCCCTGTTCAATCTTCTTGAACCTGAAGAGTTAGATTGGCGAGTTTGCCTTTCGTGACTCAAAGGTAAAAGATGATTGGACACTAGAGTGCCCGTAAATTTGCACTCGTCAAAATGTGATTGAAGGATTGGGCTTAAAGATGCCATTTGGAGAGGTGACAGAATCTTGTCGGAGATGGGTTTAAAGATGTCATCCAAGAATGTTTGTTGAAAATCAAGAGAATGAACATCAGAATGGTATCCGTATCTGGAACGTATCTGAGTTGTATCTGGAGATTGGATTTGTATGAGCAAGGGAATGGCGTCCGTGTCTGTAGCGTATCCGAGTTGTAACTGTATCTGATTCTTGAATGAATAAAATAATGACTTTTGTGTCTGGAGTGTATATGTATTGTATCTGAATTCTGAATAGGCGACAAAATAACATCCGTGTATGGAGTGTCTCTGGGCTGGGGAAAAGGTATGAATGAGTGACAGAATGGCTACCGTGTCTAGAGCGTATCTGGACTGTATCTGAGGTTGAGATCTGTATGAGTAGCAAAATGACTTCCGTGTCTGGAGTGTATCTAAACTGTAACTGGGACCTCAAGGAGTTGCTTCAAGATGATGTAGCTTAATGGGTCCCACAAAGAACCCAAATATGAATAGCATCATTGGAGATGCTCTAAGTTTAGATAAAATTTGATAAATTATATATTATCTTTATTCTTAATGACACATCAGTCGGGTAATATTACCCAACATTTTATAGATGGGTAACTCAGTCCTCATCTAAATAAAAATACAGCATCGGTTCAACTTAGCAATTTAACATAGACCATATTCAAATGGTGTACCCAAATTACAGTTATTTTTATTGAAGCATACAAGAAATTCACTTAGAACATAGCTAAGCCATCTCCTTAATCACTTTTTGCATGGTGGAAGCGGTGAGCCACACAAAGCCTTGTTCTGAAAAAAAGCATAAACATCAAACCTCTTCTGCAATTCACCACCCTGCGGTATCTGACCAGACAACCTATTATAACTCACATTAAACTGCTGCAAATTTTCCACTTTCGTCAACGCCACTGGAATCTTCCCGTATATGTTATTATGATTCAGATCCAACCATATCAAACTCTGCTTCGGAAAATCAACCTTTGACAAATCAAACGACAATAAGTTCCTTGAAACATCAAGTATCTGTGTCCTTTTCAAGCTCCCGAAAAGCACAGAAGCATCACCTTCAAGCTTGTTTCTGGATAAGTCTATCCTCTCTGGATCTATTTGACCTAATGAAGCTGGGATAGGCCCAGAAAGCTGGTTGTGAGATAGGATGATATCTGGGCCGGGCTTTTTGAACGAACCGAATGACTCTGGAATTGGGCCGGTGAGCTTGTTTCTGTCTAAGTGTAAGGACTCGAGGTTAGGTAACTGGGAGAGTGAACTGGGGATTGAGCCGGTGAGATTGTTGGTGGAAAGATGAAGAAGCTGGAGGTTTGTGAGTTGAGACAGGAAAGATGGTATAGAGCCTGAGACATTGGTGTATTCGATGAAAAGATATTTGAGGTTTTTGAGCTTGGCTATGGTGGGTTGGATTGGGCCTGTGAGTCTGGGAAGTTTGTGGAATTCGAGATTCTGGAGATAAGGGAGGTCACCGACGGAAGGAGGGATATGGCCGGAGAGATTTGTGTCTGGGACGGAGGATTGCATGATTAGGGCGGTGATACGGTGAGATTTGATGTCGCACTCGACACAGTACCAGTCACAGCAATCTGTTTCTGGGTCCCATGAGGCTAGAAGGTAAGGGTTGTTGAGTTCTTGTTTGATTCTGAGGAGAACTTTCTTGTCTTGTGGGTTGCATTTCTCAGAGAATGTAACTGGGGAGAGTAACAGGAGGGACAGGAAGGTTAGAGCTATTGCAGCTCCATTAAACACGGTTCTCATTTTTGGTGGGGTTTGGAGTTTTACAAGGTTGAATGGTAAGTATTGAGTCCGAGGGTGTTGATACTTATAGAATGTTCAACTTTTTAACGCGTGGTTCTGATTTTACTGGATAAATAATTCGGAGAAAATCCACTCCCATGTAATAATGTGAAACACGTGACTTGTTGAATGCTAGTTGCTTTCATTGGATGAAAAGACGAAACATATGGAATATGTTTACGCCTTTGTCTGGGGTTTTTTAAAGCTGATTCAAGAGATATTAGAGCATCCAAAGAGAGGCGCATACCATACACAAATGAAAAATAAGAATAATAATTCACTCAATATTATATTTTGACTGTACTTTATATTTTGAACAGGTGTTGTGATGCGGTGGGAGAACTGACTTGAGGTTTTGCGTTTGTGTTCGCAAATATTTCGGTTTAGCAAGAGTCGTCACCGACTTTTTATTTTATCCAAAGGAAAGGTCAAAAAGCACAGGAAAAGACCTTTGAGATTGTTTTTGGGTTTAGGGGTAGATTATGAAAAGGGAAGGTGCTAGCACCCTTTTCATTCATGGTTTTCCATGGGCTCTTAGTTACTTGTTTTACATCACTTGCTTTTGCTTTTCAATTGTTTGAAATGGTGCTTTGTGTGTGGTTTTGAAAATATTTTGAAAAGAGGCCTTGTGTCTAGGAAACCTTTGTAATGATTCTTGTTTGAATGTATACAAAGGTGTTTGTCTTTTGAAAAATGTTTCAATTGTTTGAAAGTTTGATTTGGGAAAATGTCTTGAAATGTGTTGTGTTTTTGAAAATGGCAAGGATGTTTGCAAGTTTGATCAAGTAACTAGGAGCATCTACCCTAACTACTCAAAAGTTTTTCCTACACATTTTTAACCCCTTGACATTGTTTTTTTACCATTGTATTTGGTAAACAATCTTGTGTTTGGATGTTAAACAGGACAGGCGCGGGTCATCATATTGACAATGATAACAATATTGCCAAGTATCTTAGCAAATTTTTGAGGGACTAGATCATTTTTGTATAGGCAACCAAGATAGCGTCATCGAGGGACTATGATCTTTTGTTTTTATTTTATTTTGCCAAGATACTTAACATGCATACCATGGCCATTTTAAAGGCAACAAGTGGATGAAACCCTAGGGGTGTTTGTGTGCATTGTGTTGTCATTTTCATACATTTTTGTCTTATATTAGGTCTAGCTATTTGTTTGATTTTGGATTTTTGCATACAAGCCCTAATCTTTCTATCATGGCATATTTGAAAGCAATAAGTGCGTAAAAGTAAATCTACAACTATTACAATATTGATATGGGGAGGGGGATACAATTTTGAATAGGGGGATATTTGCAAGAAAATAAAACACTAAGTCAACTATTACAACCCAATTGAACTCATTGTTCAAATAAATAAATAAGACAATTATTTAAATATGCAAATAAATATGAATATGCAAAAGTGTTTTTGTATTATTTTTTTGTATGTAAAAATAAATTATTTAATGTATTAAAAATAAAAATAAAAAAGATTATTTTTATTAAGGGTGGAAACCCTAATTTTATTTTAAGAAAATATGTGTATTGTAATTATTTATTTATGTACAAGAACATAAAATAAAATATATACAAAATGTTTAGAAAATAAAAATATATGAGAAAATTTTATTTAAGTGTATAAATAATAAATATAAAAATATAAGATATTTTTTTGTTTTATTTACAAGTTTTTTATTTAAGAAAATAAAAGTATATTATTTAAGAAACTATTTTTATGCTAGAAAAAATAATAAAAATAATAAAATAAAATATGGAAATTTAAGAAAATATTTTTGGTAATTTTTAATGTTTAGAAAAAATAAAATAAAGTCAGAAACTTAAAAAGAAATAAAAAATATAAAAAAATAAACAAATGGGTTGAGGGGTGCAAATAACAGAAATGGGGGTGTCAAAAGCAAGCCAAGGCCAAGCCCAGCCCAGATCACTTCATCTCTAACCTCTGACCAAACAAAAACGCGCGCTTGATGTTCAAACCTGGAAATCCTGCATTTGTGCTTAAAAACAAAAACTTGCAACATGAAAGTTATAGAGCATAATCACACGATTCCAACCATGTAAAAAACTTAATCTAACTCTCAAAGACCAGAGAGAATTTCTCTGGCCCTAATTTCTAACCTAGCTTTTTCAGAAAGTTCATCATTCAAATTCTCCCAGCTCAGTTAACTTAAATAAATTCTATGCATATGTATAGCTCAAGGGCAATGAGTACTACATTTTTTATTCACAAACCTAAGCCTAATGATTCCTAAATAGAGAGATAGAAGTTTGAACTTTACCTGTTTCAGTCAAGCTCGAGTATGGCAATGCAGGGGTTTTTAGTGAGGCCTGAGATGCTTGCGAGCTTGCTTGAAGTTCCTTTGAGCTTTCCCAATGCTTAGCTTAGGTATGTTGTATGGAGTATGTTGGAACTGATTGCAAGCAAAACGCACGAGACAATGTAAAGATGGAAGTGATTCTGCAGGGCCTGCCCTATTTTGCAAGAAAATGTGATTTTTGTGTACAAGGGTGTTTGAGAGGCTTAGGGCTCGTGTTTATGGATTAGTATAATGTGTTCAGCTTGTTTGAAATCTTTACAACACTTGGTTATATCAGATACAAGAGTTGTTGACCTTTTGCAAGGTTTCTTGGTTTTGAAGTAAAAGTGAGAAGTGACCATGCTATGGCCTGTACAAGCCTCCTTCTTAGCTGCACAAAGTTGTTGTACTTTGACCTAAGTTTGTGGAGTTGGTTTTCTGCAAAAGAATGGGTTCACAGCTCAAGAGGAACAACTTGACATAAAGCCAACTTTATCAAAGTGGCAATGTTGCCTTTTTGCCATTTTTAGATTAATTCAATGTGTAAACTTGTATAGATCAGGACAATTCCTTAATCCATTGTGTTTGCATTCAATTTTTTAGTGTGGAAGGGTTTAAGGACCTGTAAACAAGTACAATCATGGCTGGACAGAAATTGCAACTTGTGTCAACATGAAAAATGCCATGAACCAAAGTGATATTTTTCCAAATTCAAACATTTGATTCTCCCTAACCACAAATGATCTTGGAGAGTTCTATGACATTTTGGAAATCATGTAACATGCTTTACAATCCATATTTAAAATGCATTTTGAGATTCCACTTGGAACTATTTGAAAAATTACCATGAAGATAGGTCAAAATCCTGCCTAAACTAGGGCAAAATTTCACTAAGTTAAAAGTTTCATGGACCCTTGTTCATAAAATCATAACTTGAGATCCAAGCTTATTTTGCGAAAACTTTGTGTATCAAAGTTGTAGTTTTTGTGGAGGACTACAACTTTCATGTTGGAAGTTTTGTTTGAATCCAATTGCATCATGGTGAAAAAGTATGGAAAAGTTGGGAAAAAATAAGGAATTTTCATAACTTAGAAAATTTCTAAGTTATGAAAATTTTCCATTTTAAACCCTAATTTTCAAAATTAGGTTTCTTGGTGAATAAGTTTCACGTTTTGACACATCTTGATGAAAAATGACCCTTGGAACTTGATTTTGACCAAAAAGTCAAAGTTTGACTTTTCAGTGTACAGTTGATTTTTGATCAGTTGACTGGAAAATTCATCTGTCAATCCAATGCATTTGAGATCTTTTGAACCTTGTGATTAGGTCAAGATGATGCCATTGAGTCCTTGAATGCATGCTTGAACCCAATTTGCCATTGGCTAGGTTAAAAAATCAAAAGTTGCCCCTCTATAGTTAAAACCCTAAAAATGACCATTTTGCCCTTTTGATGATCTGATCAAATTTCTTGAGGAGTTATGGTCCGAACTTCATCAAATGGTTCATATGAGTCTATAATGTTGATGTGGATCAAAAATTATGAGGTTTGACTGTAAATTGGCCACAGTTGACTTTTCCCCTAATACAGTTGATTTCTAGGTCAACTGTCCAATTGACTGGGCAAAAATTTGATTCAAGGCTTGAAACTTGGTATGGGAAAACTTATAAGTCCAACATGAAGTATGAAAGTCATATTAAGCATTGAAAGTCCAAAAATCCCTGTGCAAACTTAAACCCTAATTTCAGGTCATCAGTGCAAGGAGATGTCTTGAGCAGAGCAAACCCTAGTCTTGTCTGGAGTCCAAAGAGTCTTGTAAGGGGAAATCTTGATAAAATGTGAGGGAAAATTTTGGGGTACAACAAGTGTCCTTCCAAGAAATTGAAGAACAAGGTTCTTAAAGAAGTGTGGAGCAGCAAAAGACCATCAGTGAGTCATCTGAAGGTGTTTGGATATATGTGTTACAAGCATGTTCCTGATGCAAGAAGAAGCAAGCTTGATGAGAAGAGTGAACCTATGATCCTGGTAGGATATCATAAAGTTGGTGCATTTAGGCTATTCAATCCAATCAATGAGAAAATTGTAATAAGTCGAGACATTGTGATAGATGAAAATTCTTCCAGTCGATGTCGAAGCAGTTGCTGAAATTCCCAACACAATCGAAGTCGAAGAAGGTGTGGCTAGCATAAGACAGTGGCCTCAAAGAACTAGAGTTAGTCTAATAAGACTTACAGACTATGAAGTGACTGGTGATGATGAAGTAACACTAGAAGAAGAATTAGTTCATTTTTCTTTACTTTCAGGTGTTGAACTAGTCAACTATAGTGAGGCCTTAAATATTAAAAAGTGGAAGTCTATTATGTTTGAAGAGTTACAGGAAATCAAAAGAAAAAACACATGAGAGTTAGTCGAATTGTTAGCATATACAAAAGCTATCAATGTAAAGTGGGTGTTCAAGTTGGAAAAAAATGCTGATAGATCGATAAAAAAGACATAAAGAAATATTAGTAGCTATATGTTTTCTTCAAAGAGCGGGACTCGACTACTCTGAAGTTTTTGATCCAGTAGCAAGATTGGAGACTATTCGACTAGTGGTAGCCTTGACATACAACCAAGGTTGGTCGACATTTCATTTAGATGTGAAATCAA